GAGAGGGCGGACGGGCCGTGGGGTCCTGCTGGAGCATGGGAGGCCGCCTCCAGCGCGGACGAGGCAAGGAGGAGGAGCTCAGGCGCAGCTCCGGCAGTGGCGCTCGCCGGCGATGTTGGAGATGGGACTTGCAGCGGCGATGATGAGGCATGGCGATGCAGTCGCCTGGAGGCAAGGGCGAAGGAGATGCGCCAGGGCATGGCAGCATGCGCGAGCTCGGGGCGACGAGGATTCGTTCCCGGAGGAAGCAACGGTGGGCATCCATGGCGACGGAGTATCTAGGAGGGAGAGGGATTAGAGAGAGAGGGAAAACGAAGAAGAGGACGGGAGGAGGAGGCAAAGTGCTGGCCTGCAGGTCGACGATGGCGACTATCGGAGGTGTGGCCAGAGATTGAGGCGGCCTGGGGAACGAGGGAGCCCCTCGGGTATGGGCTCTCGGGCAGGGGACGGTGGCCTGGTCTCGGGCGTGGGCGAGCTCTTCAGTGGCTCGAGGCAGAGGCGCCATGGATCGAGAGGAGGGAGCTCGAGCTCGTCCGCTCATGCACGGGCACGACGAGAAGGAGGCTGACACGCGAGGCTTGGTGTAGTACTGTTGCGGGAGGAGTCCGGCGAGGTCCAACCGGAGCGGCGAGGAGGCAGGAGGGGCAGGCCGCGGAGGCCTCGGGCGGCTGCGAGGGCTCGGGCTCCTCGATCCAGATCGAGGCAGGGAGGAGTTATGCTCTAGATTGGTTGGGCATGAAAGCCGAGTGGAGTTTGGTGGGGTGGCGGCGCTGCGATGGGATGGATGCATCAGGAGTGGAGGGGAGATCCCGAGGGGGATTCGGTGGAGTGGCGGCGGCGACGAGTGGATGGGACAATGTCCCTAGATTTTAGGGTTTGTGCAAAAATAGGCTAGGAGAAGACTATATATATGGGGAAAAGAGGGGAGTTGGATCATCCGATCAAAATCCGTCGGTCGAGAAATTGATAGGCTAGGAAAATCTAAGTAATAAACGGAGATGTTTTAGGGATGTTAGGGGATGATCTGAACGCAACGGTGATGACTGAGCGGTACGGGTTCGGGGCAGTTTCGGACACGCGCGAGGGGTCGATGCTCTGTGCAAAGAGGGGTAGGCTAGGCCTAGGCTGTGTAGGAGAGGTCTCAGGCTGAGAAGAGAGAGACGGAAATGCAGCCCAGCAAGGTTTCCGGAGACCGAAAACGTCCGTCTATATCGCCACTATAGTCATTCGTTGGGGCGTCAAACGAACTCTGAATGCGATGAAACTTGGCAGGCGGCCTACTGACAACATAACAACACTGCATGCCAACGTTCAACCAATTCCAAGAACATTTTTGGCCACTAATAAAATAATATTTCGGACATGCCGCGGGCGCGTGCAAGTGTTTTTGGGCTCAGAACGGACAACGGAAGGAACGGGGAGACCGGGACGGATGCAAGTTTGGAAAACATGATAATGCAATGCACATGATGACATGATAAAATGCAACACGCAAGCAAATAACATGACAACGTCAGCGAATAACTGGAAAACACCTAGCACATCGGTCTCGAGGCGTCACAGCTGATCCCGCCATGGTGCTCTACCTTAAGGTCGGCTGCGTCCAAAGGATCTTGAGCGCCAGGCCCGGGGACGCTGTGTGGCGAGTCAGTCAGCCCGGGGAGCCGCTGTCCGAGTGCGGGCTCTCCTTGCGTGGCCGGTTTTACCTGTCGACCCCTGAAGGGGACGTGCTCAGCTATCGGCTCCGGTCGCTGCCTCACTTCAGTTACATGGCTAGGCAGCAGGCTGGCCACAGGCGCCGTAACTTCATCATGAGGTCCTTCCTACTGCTGGCCCGTGACCGGATCCGGATGCAGCTCGTGCGTGAGATCCTCGGCGGCGACTTCATGATCGATGATATTCTGGTGGGGGCCTGGATATGGACACGGACGTCGAGGTGTTCTGGGTGAACGTCGTAGAGAACAGCCTTACCCTTGTCCAGCAACAGGACTTGGCCGACTATCCCTGCCCGTGGTTGACCCTCGGCATCGAGTCTCATGACTAGTTTGTTCTCAGCTCTCCCTCACATGCAGGACTAGTAATCAGTCAAAGGTTCTGACCATATCTAAGACATTGCTGTAACCTTTTATCTGTTTGCTGTTGAACAATTTGCTCTCAGTTATTCCAATTTGTTTACAACTTTTAGTTTGTAATTTTGTCTCGAGCATTTTTATTTTTCCAATTTTTTATCTATATATTCTTGCACTTTCAAAATAAAATGATTTAAAGAGGCCAAAAAAATGCTCAATGTACCTCTATACACATGACACTCTGCAATATGTTTTGTTATTTCAAACTTCGAAAAATCAAGTGGAGGGACACAAAAATTGAACTTAAAAATAGACAATAAAATTAACGCAGAGCACATGTGAAGGCATCAGCTTATAACCTCAACACCTAGTGTTACATCAAATAGTCAAGTGGGGTATAACGAAAGCTAGCTTTACTAAGAGACATCAACCCCTCACCTATGATGCATACCTACTTCTGAGAGAATGCATAGTGTAGTCCCTCAGCAGTTTCTTCTTCTTATAATTAAAATTTTAATTTTCTAATGTTCAAATTGCCATCTCCTTTTCACTTATACAGTTTCTCTTTACATTAGCAATGGTCCAACCAAGATCATCAGTAGGCTCATTTGATGCCTCTTCTTCATCTTCTTTCTCATTATAGTACCATCGTATTCAGGAAACCCATGACCAGTATAGCTGTCATCCTCTTCTTCATTCTCTTCCATTATAACCCCTTTTTATCCGTTCTTGGTCCAACAGTTACAACCGGACATGAAACCGGACGTAAACAGGTGGACGTGAATGACTTTTGAGGAATGTCTACATATCTACATATCAACATACCACTTTATATACAACGCGGGCTCCTGTGAGAAATGTCTCGTTACAGTGGAATGGGGAGGGTCCTATAGGAAAAGGGAAGGGTACATCGTGGGGTGGGGTTTTTGTGTAGGGACCATGTGTCGGAGATAACATGATGGATAGTCCGGACAAACACATTTCTTTCTCATATATGGTTGGGATTTGTGGAAACCTAGATTGTCGAGACGGTTGAATTTTGGGGAGCCCGCTAGGCGCCCGTTTGATGTACGAACACATACAGACGTATGAGTGAGAAATGAGTTTTGATCTTAACACGACCTTAATCACTGATTTAATCCATTTGTATGCATTGATGCTCGTAGCAACGCACGAGCGTTCTACTAGTAGGTCTAGTTACAT